TCTTGTAGTCGATTGCAAAATGCCAATTACTTACCCTACGATGTTAAACATCCAATCATTTTGTCAAGAGGACATAAATTAACAAAATTGATTGTTAAAAATTACCATGACGAAACCAATCATGTGATGGAAACAAATCAATTATTAACAAAACTATTAAAACGATATTAGATCATACGAGGACGAGAAGAAATCCGAGATGCAGAAGCAAATGCAACAAATTGAAATTAAGAAGATGCAAACCTGCTCAACAGCTGACGGTCCCTTACCAGAAATGCGCTTTAAAGAACCACTACGTACATTTGCTAGAATTTGTTATCGATTTTGAGTGTCCATTTCTTACTATGACAGGTAGAGGGAAGATACGACAAAAGAGATACTTATGCTTGCTTACCTGTTTACTATCACAAGCAGTACATCTCGAGATGGCTTATAATCTAGAGAAAAATTCATTCTTCAATGCCTTTTATTGAATGGTGAATATAAGAGAACTACCATTGGAATTTTTAATGGACAATGGAACAAATTTTGTTGGAGAATGTTGAGAACTAAACAAAATTGTCAACGAATTAGATAAGAAAGAAATTAAGTGGAACTTTAATGCTCATCTAGAACTTTATCTTGGCGGTGTATTTGAAATAACGGTCAAACGTGCAATGACTTGGATACTCGAAAAATCTAATATTACAGATAAAGATCTCTGTACGGCTATTACAGGTGCTGAGAATTTATTGAATTCTCGCCCATTAACGTATCAGAGCGCCGATATAAAAGATGATATTATTATATATTATTAAGATATCATTAACTCCAAATCATTTTTTGATTGGGCAAGTTGGAGAACAATTTGCTCTTGACTTCAATCTAAAAGCTATCATCCTGAAAACGCTAGGGTCAAGTGCAAGAACTACTACGTCATTTTTGGAAACGGTGAATGCGAGAATGGCTTCCATCTTTATTTAAAATATATAAATGGAATCAAGAAAATCGCGAAATAAAAACAGATGACATTGTGTAAGTAATTTCTCCAGATACACCTAAAGGACATTGGCCGCTTGGTAGAATTACGGAAGTTTTTGAAGGTAAAGATGGACGTGTAAGAGTTGTAAAAGTTAAAATTGGAGAAAAAGAATCTATACGACCAATTACGAGAATGTTTCCTTTTGAGTTTGACAATTAAGAATGTTTGATAGACTGGAGTTTTTCAAAGAGGGGGAGAATGATCGATAGATATAATCAGTAAATAGCGCCAATATGGCTGTAACGAACTAAAAAACAATTATATGGCGACTATTTGAACAATAGCATTTTTTGTTATTAAACGAAATTTTTGTATAAGTAGAGTTTTGTTGTTGTTGTTTTTCAGATACAAAAAATTAAAAAATATAAGTGATATAGGTAATGTAAACATACGGTTGTAAAAAACGGTTAAGATCTTAAAAATATAAGTTATAATACATATTCGGTATTATTTGTGATCGCCATCGGATCATATAGTGTTCAAGTTTATTTAGCAGTATATCATGATTTACTGTATCAAAGGCTTTGGACAGATCAATGAAAACTCCTTATGTAAAATAATTGTTGTTTAGGGCGTCCGATATTTTGTTTACAAGCTCAACTACTGCGTGCTCGGTTGAATGCTTTTTTTTGAACTCGAACTGTTTTTTATACAACACATCGTTTTTTGTCAAATAATCATAAGGCCAGTTGTATTATACGATCAAGTACGGTCTGTAGTTTGAAACGTTGGAGTCATCTCCAGTCTTAAATAATGGTGTGATTCGGACAATTTTTAACTTATCCGGAACAACACCTGATTTTAAAGAAATTTTAAAGATATGTTATAAAGATGTTTCAATGACATCAAGTACAGATATTACAACGTTAGCGCTTACTTGATCAAAACCTACGCTTTTATTTTTTTTTAAGGCTATTAAAAGCATCTCACAATTTGCAAACTTTAAGATTAGATTCGTCCATATCGTCCGTATTATATCTTTTTAAATAAAAATCAAAACTTGTTGAGCTCAGCGGAATTGTTTTAGCTAAGTTCGGCCCAATATTGGCGAAGAAGCTGACAAGTTTCTCAGCAATAGAAGATTTTTGATAAACTAGATTTTTATTAATCATAAGTTTTTTTAAAATAATATTTTTATTACTTTTGTTTTTTCCAATTATTTCATTAATAACATGCCATACTTTTTTCGTGTTTTTATTTGTTTTTTCTAATAATTTTGCGTAGTATAGTGTTTTTTGTTTTTTTCAAGTAGATTTTTATAATTTTTTTTATGCTGTCTCATTATTATACGTTTTTTTGATTCATAAGTATATTTTTTAACAAATATAACCATCTGGTGGAAAAAACTTGAACATCTTATTTTAAGAGTTGTCAATGATTTTTTCAAGAACCTTAAAACTGCTTGGATAGAAGCTAAATAAGTGGCCAACAGCCCTCCGCATTCAACTGAGCCCATATCGAAGGGGCCAGTTTGAGGGAAATAAATGCAAGTCTCTTTAAAATATGCAACTTGTTGATACAAAAATAGTTCCTAACATCGTTTAAATATTTGAATCATTCAAAAGCTTCAATTTAGTTGTCAAGGTTTGCTTTGGATTCATCCATTCATTCTTTCTTTCATTTGGATTTATCATTCAGTCGGATTTCGCTGAAACAAATGAAAACTTTAAAAGGGGCTACTTAGTGATACCTGTTGCAAGGGTAACACCTAAAATTTACACCACATCAAAGATTTCATCTGTCACGAAGGATCTTTCTTGAGAGCCTATAGAGAACAAAATGTCGAAACTTCTCATCAAGATTTTTATCAACATTGGTCAAGGTATAAACGAAACAACAATCATACAGATTACAAAAAAAGATTTTTGCGCTGCATAATTGATCTAAACGGTAAGCATCTTTAAAGAACTGCTAGCATAATTTGAATTATTAGAGGCAACAAAAGTTGCTCACGGTTTATATTGAACATTTTTATCATCTTAATCTTTAAAAGCTATATATTCAAAAACAACGAAATTTAATATTACATTTAAAAATAGTATTGATGACTATTTGTACTAAAAGAGTATACTGTTTTAGACGTTTAAAACACCATTTTTTGTCCTCTAGGAGAAGTGGTGATTTTAAGCATGTTCATATTAATGAACTATTTTTTCAACTTTATAAATTTAATGGGTTATCCATTAAATTGATAAAAGTTTCATTCAACTTTCTAAATTTGATGGTTCCATCAGAGTTAGAAATTTGACCTCCCTCTTTCATGTAGTCTTTTTATTTAAGCTTAATTTTTAATCATAAAAATTTAAAAATCGCTACCCTTCCCTTCTCCCTAAAAAGTACATACGCTTTTCACCCTCTACCTTATAAATTAAAAAAATTTAAATTAAAAAAAAATTGTATTAAATTATGAAATACTTTTTTAAATTAGCGTGCTTACTTTTAAAATTGATCATGTTCCTCCTTTTCTCCCGATTACTTTAATGAACGCATTTTGCATGTCCATCCTCACCCAAATCCCTCTTAGTTTCCTTATTGGACCACAAAACCCTTGGTTTCGGCACAGTATTCAAACTTCGGATACTTTTATATCTTCAATTAAATTAAGTTAAAACATCTATAAACTTATCCATAAAAAATTCTTTATAATATAATATTTCTAGGGAATATATATACCCTCGTTATTCAATTAATATAAAAACCGTTAAAAAACAAACAAATAATAAAACTTTAATGTAATTTGTTCTTTGCGTCTTGAATAAGAAAAATAAGGTTTCCAAAACGACGATGTGACGTAATCACCTTCATCTTCATTCAAACCACCTTCATTTGGAAATCACTGGTGATGCTGTATTTCCAAAGACTCTTTCATTTTTCTCTTAAAGTAGCCTGCCTCTACTTTAACCGTGTTGTTTTTATTCCAGCCAAAAGCACCATGGCAATTTCTGGAATGCCCTGTCACGGCCAAGTTTTACCATTTTTCCTCAAAAGTATGTTTTTGATGTTGGCAAATGCGTGTTGAAACCATGAGTCTTGTTTAACCTAAATAGAATTTTTCACACGAACACTCCAGCTTGTAGACTCCAGAATAAGAGTTGTTGGGTATTCAAGGCTTGTTTTCTTGAGTTAATTGTTTTTTGGTGATTTGAAAAGGTTTTTTGGTGATTTGAAAAATAAAAAAATTAAATCAAAAATGGGATAGATGTTTTTTTCAAGCACACTTTATTATGATTGTAATATCAAAGGTGTAATATCAAAAACCAAGCCTAAAAGCTGTTTATTGCAGATTAAAAAAATGGGTTGCCTGAAATACACGTCCGCTTTATTTGAGCTAGCGATAAAGAGTGGCATGTGTGGGCATAGAGCACTATACCCATTCCCTTCCTATACATACATGTCGACAATCTAGGATCTTTAGTTAAAAATTAACTTTTCTATTTCTATGATGAACTTTTATTTTTTTAAATTGTTATTTCTTCAAAAACATTCATTCATAAACTTGTTAACTGCGATAATTTAAAAAAACAAACATTACCGAGAATTTTTTTTTTAATTAGTGTGTATGTAACTTGGATATTGATCCCTCTTTCCCCCTATACGTTTATGTACGCTATTAGAAGACCCATCCCCCTCCGCTCTATGAACGTACGTTCTTTATGGACCTCGTCAATGGTCAAGTGAGAATGTTTTCTCCCCAAATATGAGGGCGATGATGTAATTAAACATTTGATTCTATCTCATGTAATAAACATAAGCGCCGGTAACATATACGTATAAAACTTCATAAGCGGTTTTAAAACAGAGAATACTTTTTTCAAACTAAACACTAGTTTTTATTACAAAATTCATTACTCTTTATTCTTTTTAAAACCTTCCGCATAAAAACTGGCAGCCGAAAGTTCATAATTACATTAAATTACTATATACAAAATATTGGCCGAGTCGCATACTTAAAATGCAAAGATCAATATGAGACTGTAAATAAATAAAAGCTATTTGTCTTTTCGTCTGAGAAATTACCAACAGCTAAAATAGAATAAAAAATATACAACAGAAAATAAAATACCGATAAAAAAAAGAGTTATTTATGTCAAATTAAGAAGCAAGTTAGCAATTCACTTCGAACTACATTGGTGCTTCTATTACACGATTAACTTGTGACGCAATGTCTTTAGAATCATAATATTTCATAGAATCTATATCTGGAGAAATAGTACCTAGTGGTCCAAAATTCATACTTTGACTAGCATTGGCTAAGCAGAGCAAACTATCTAACTCTGATATATGTGAAATGTTTTTGTCTGAAAAATCATCTGAATGTTTATTTACAGGAGAAACTTTTATTAAATGATGCGCCAACTCTGCCATAATTGTAAGACCAGGCGCATTTTTTTGAATTTTATCATTTTGAATTGTTTTACAATAAGGACATTTATACTCGTCTGCATTAATTGCTTCCTGAGCACTTATCCTAACACAAGCACAATGATACCAATTATTACAAGTATCACACATTACCCACTCAACTTCTTCGCCTAAAAAAAGATATTAAAATAAAAAATGTTAAGTAGTTTAGAATACAAACTTAATTAATTAAAAGATGAAAATGTAGGCACTTCAGTATTGACATTAATACTGAAGTACCTACGATAACCTGGTTGTCTGTTTCAACAAACCGTGTAACTAAATGTGTAATAGTAAATGCTTGGTTCTGAGTGTATATATATATATATATATATATATATATATATATATATATATATATATATATATATATATATATATATATATATATATATATATATATATATATATATATATATATATATATATATATTGTGTGTGAGTGTGTGTATATCACAAACAATTCATACCAAAGGACGCAATTTCATAATAATATATTTGCGTTCTTATTCTAAAAACGTACGCTTTAATTTTTCAGAAAAAGAAATAAAATGAAGAATCATGAAAGAAAAGATTGCTCCCTCATGCCAAACCCTTAATCAATGTAGCAGCACTTCTACAGGCAGCAAACAATAAGATAGCTAATGTATGTAATGAAACCCTTGCAACTACCACTTTTAGTATGATCATCAGTGTACATCTAATGCCGCATTTATATGTGTATATGTTATATATGTATGTATATAAAAATAAACAGTTATTCTGCAAGGTATAAATTGCAGGTTTTTGAAACAGGATTTTTGTGAATAGTTAAAGTTAGGTAATTGTAGATTTTTTTTTGTTTTAGTACTTTCAGTTTGTTACTACTAGGTGTAGTTAAGGCGATTTACAAGTTATTCGAATTCTTTTATTTGAAATTAGCATGATTTTATCAGCGTATTATGTCCAGATCTTTAAAACCTTTTACTGCCCTAATAGTGAATCTAAAAAACACCATTTGGAATCTTTAGATCAACTATATATAATATATTCTATAAATAGATTCTAGTTCTAATCAGTTCTGACGTATATTAACTATATATCGTTGTCAAAGAACAATATTTGTATCATTTTTCAAAAAAAAAATACTAGAATTCCGACCAAGAAAGCGCTTATAATTAAAGAAAATTGCCAATAAACGATCAAAACAAATCGTATTAATAAATATGATGTCCATTTCACCTAAAAAACGTTTTTATTTACAATCTTATTCAAATTTGGACAAGCGATTATGATTTTAAGAAGAATTTTTTTAAAGAAAAATAAAATATTTGGTCTGAAAATTATCTTGAAAATTATTTTTCGCTACAAACATTTATATTTTATGGTACCGCGAAATTTATCGTATACATTTTTTTTGTCTTTTCATAATTTACAGACCTAATCATTTAACGGAAATATGTTTGGAGTCAACAAAATATCATGCAGATGCTATAATATTTTTAAAATGCCCTAACTACACTGAGTAGCATAAGACTTTTTTTTAATTCTTATTATTAAATAATTTTAAACCATAAATTATTGAAAAATTTTAAAAAAATTTTAAATTAATTAAAATACTAATTATAAACGATTAATTTATAACTTATGTATTATAAATATACTAATGCCATGAATCAATTCTCCTACATCTACGCTATCGCTTGGATATTCGTTTTACCAACGTATACCCTGAATCGATGCTTAGATCCTACCCTTGTAGACTTGCTTAACCAAACTTTTTTGCTTATAAAAAACCTAATAAACTTTGAATAACTTCAAAATGTTAAATTATTTATGATAAATTACTCTAAAGTATAAATTATTAGAACACTTTAATTTTAAAAAAGAATAATTTGTAGAGAATAACTAATAGACATTAATATAATTTAAATTACACTAACTTTAATTCACACTAACATAACAATATGCTATTGTTTAATTCCGAACTAATACTTTTATAACTTAGCTAACAATTAAATTAAATTTCTGATAAATTTTTTACCTAAAGGTTTTAAACATGGTTTGGCAGAACAATCATCTTCGTCTTCATCTTTATCAATATTTATAGGAAAACGAATCTTTATAAGCTTTTCATTTTTTTTCCGACGTGAAACAATATCTTTCAGCTTCTTAACAGCAGCGCCATCAACGATCGATAAATTTGTAACTGCCTTAACTGTTTGTTTGGAATCATCACTTTTACGCTTTCTTTGTTTCTTTAATTTTTTTGCAAGATTGCGACGATATTCTGCATTCTTTAATAAAGTAAAAGATGGATAAAATAAAGTAGGACAAAGTAAAACTTAAAATACAATAAAACTTAAAAATGAAAATTTAAAATACAATAAAAAATAGATAACTTTAACAAATTACCATTATCATACATTCTTCTTTTAAAAGCGGTCTTTGAATTTGCAATATAGCCCATATGACCTCTACTTCGTCTAGTCCAACTTCTAAAATACTACCTTCATATAATAGCACGTCAAGCTCGTTTAATACAGAGTTAGGCAGTGGTAACATCGTAAGCTCATTTCTATCAGGATTCGAAACATTAATATCATTAAGATATGTTGTAGATGGTGAATTTGAGCTCTGAATTTGAACGAAAGTATGATTAGAAAAAGAGTTATCAAAATTTTCTTTAGAGTTAGGACTTTGATTACACATTTTTTCTGTGCATTCAAGACCCGACTCTGCAAATAAAGGTTTAGTTTCTAGTGGTTGCATAGAAGATGAATCTATATCTATTGTCTCTGGTTTAACATACGATTGTTGGTTTAAATCAAGTTTAACATCTTCATTTAATTGTTTCTCATATTTAACTAACTTTTTTACAGCAAGAAGTCTTTGTATTAAAAGCAGGTGTGAAACATGTTTTTCAACAAGCTCTATATCACGTTTTACATTATCTATAACTCGTTGTATCTCAGGATGTGATAAAACAACTTTAGTACGATCCTGCCAGTTCATTGCGCGCTCTGTGAGGAACTGAAGAGCCTCTCCTTCAGGAATACGCACAGGAAGTTTCTGCAATGACATAAGAAGAGACAATATTGCATCGATACGTGGACGTCGAGTACGACAACATTCTGGACATAAATAATGAACTTCACGAGACACAGAACACGCAGTAAATCCTTTACCTATAGGTTTACCATATACAGTTTTAGGGGCAACTATACACGTAGTGTGGTACCATTCTAAACAAAGAGAACAAGGAACCATTAGGCCATCTATTGGTTTCCGACAAAAGCAATAGGGACCTTCTATATTTTCTGTAATTAGTTTGTCTCTGTTATTACATCTAAGTTTTCTAACAGCCTCAATTTCATGTTTTTCGGCAAGTTTTAATGCTTGCATAACTACATTTGGATCACGTGATATATATTCATCTACATAACTGTGGCACCCTTCATTTTCACTTTTATCATCACATTCCATTTTTATCTCTTCTTTTAAACAAGCATCTTTTTTTATCTCTTTTTTTGCTTCGAATTTTTTATGTTCATCAGATTCATCTGATTTTTTCTCTAATTTTAATTTAATATCAAAAACGCCAACATCCTTGCGTGGTCTAATAACCTACAATAAATTAAATATAACTTAATATCAAAAACGCCAACATCCTTGCGTGGTCTAATAACCTACAATAAATTAAATATAACTTAATATCAAAAACGCCAACATCCTTGCGTGGTCTAATAACCTACAATAAATTAAATATAACTTAATATCAAAAACGCCAACATCCTTGCGTGGTCTAATAACCTACAATAAATTAAATATAACTTAATATCAAAAACGCCAACATCCTTGCGTGGTCTAATAACCTACAATAAATTAAATATAACTTAATATCAAAAACGCCAACATCCTTGCGTGGTCTAATAACCTACAATAAATTAAATATAACTTAATATCAAAAACGCCAACATCCTTGCGTGGTCTAATAACCTACAATAAATTAAATATAACTTAATATCAAAAACGCCAACATCCTTGCGTGGTCTAATAACCTACAATAAATTAAATATAACTTAATATCAAAAACGCCAACATCCTTGCGTGGTCTAATAACCTACAATAAATTAAATATAACTTAATATCAAAAACGCCATCATCATTTAGGTGGTCTAATAACCTACAATAAACTTAATATAATTACATAAATGCACATTCAGAAAGAAATGGTATATAGATATTATAATTGCTACCTCAAGCAAACTTTTTTCTGAACCCTTTTTGAGAAATATTCTGGATGTTCTCTCTTTCCAAGCACGAGCAGCTGCAACTTGTGATTCCATTTGAGATAACTGTTCTAATCTAACTGGAATTGGTCTACCATTAGAGACTAAGGTATCCAATACATCATAATATGGATAATAGTCATCATTCTAAAGTACACAAACATTATTCTAAAAATTACAAACATATCAAAACTTAACTAAAAAAATTTGTAAAACTAAGTTACAAAGTTACAAAGTAAACCTGCATTCTTTCGACTATTGATGTCCATTCTTTTGCTTTATTAAGAGCATCTCTTAACATTGAGACATTTGGTAGAATAATTCTGACTTTGGAGGCTTCTTGTACAATGACATCTAATGTACTGATCATGTGTCGCGGTCTTAAAGGAGATTAAGATGATTGTTTTACTTTCAATAATTTATGTTTATATCAAATTTAAAAATTTTAATTCCAAATGAAACTTATAAATTGATCACATTATATATGAAAATACATCTACCTGCTTTAATAAAATATTTTGAAATTTCATTAATAATAATTATTAATAATATTAATAAGTTTTAATGTATTGATTAATTTTTTTTATTTCCAACTGGGATTAGCCCCTCTCAGCACATAACAACTTGCCACTGACTTAAATCTCACTCTACTTAAAAAAAAGTACAACAGTAAAATATGTGCAAACACAACTTACTTAGCTTGTAAGCACAGTTTTGCTTTTTCTTCCCAGCGGTCAGCAGAAAACAACAATTCTTTAAGGCGTGACAATGGCTCAATAGACACTAAAAAAATAATTTATTTGTGTATAAATGAAAATGACTCCAAGTTACCAAACAGTAAAAAACCTAAATAATATACCTGGCTTTTTTTTAAGTCCAATGCCTTGATCAACACATGTTCGCATAACATCAAGCGAAACAGGTTCTTCTTGATTTAGTAATTGAACAATTTCTCCAAGCCATTTTGAGGCTTTGAGATCCTATTTAAATAAGAATTACTCAACCTATATTGTATTAAATCAAACAAACATAAAATCATTAGATATACATAAATAGATAAACATGGGTACAAAATAATAACTAAAAGTAATTTTTAAATTATGGATTTACTTATTTTAACATTTTAATTAATACACTTAAGAATCACATTTACAAAAAAAAAAAAATTGAAAAGAATTGTTTCAGGGTGGCCGGCCAATAATTAATTCAAAATTCAAGGATATTTCCAAGATTTTTAATGAAAAGATTCGAATTTTTTAAAGATATATAGAACTTTTCTGGACAAAAAAAAAGAGCAAAATATGTTGATATATGAAAAATTATGAAAATGAAAAATAACTAAATAACTAGTAAATGTTGAATACTCAAGTAACATTAAGCAAAACTTTTTTTTGCATTACATTAAATACATAATTATCAAATTCAGTATAAATTTAGCCAAAATTATGGATAACATTGTAAAAGATAAAAATGGTGAAAGGATATTGAACCATTTCAGAAAAAAATTCCAGGACTTCCAGGAATTATTTCTAAAAGAGGTGTTTTTCCAGGGCCTATCAAATTCCAGGACTTTTCCAGGTTTTCAAGGACTTCTAGCCACCCTTTGTTAAGTTACCTTGAGAAAACTTAATTTTATCAAATAAGATCTATTACAGCAAAATGAAGCACCCATGACACCATAGTGGAAAAACTATTTATTAAGGCTTTAGTATAGCTAATGTGAATATAATTGTCTATTTTTATTTTATACATGAATTTACTTCCAACAGGACTGCAAGTAATAACAGTTTGAGAGTTATAGACCGTTAGAAATATAGAGAGTTAAAGACCGTTAAAGTTGACAGAAAACTTTAAAAAACTTTACCTTAAGCTAATTAAAGTTAATTAAACCGTAATCCAACTGCTTTTACAACTCAATTCTAGACCTTTTATGAAAGAGAGAAGAGAGAAGAAGAGAAAACAGTATTTCTATACATAGACAAATAAGACATTTATAGAGATAGAGAATGAAGTCAAGAATAAGAAAACAGTGAACACAATGAAGTGTAACAGATGCTAAGTTTACAATAGATCTAAACCAAAGATATATATATATATATATATATATTATATATATACACACACACTTACTAAAGCGTGTTTTGATAAGCATTTGCTCACTTTTTCTGCCTACCTTAAGCTATACCATTTTTTTTCGAAAAAGAAGAAAAAACAAGAATATATATATATATATACAAATAGTATTGCGTACTAAGATAAGCAATCTGACGCCATACTGAGATGGCCTGCTGCTGGGGGCTTCAGTACATACATCGACTGACAAATAGCCTGACTCGCAGTGGAGTGCTGCTACATCGACTGAGGGTTTGGGATGGGGAAGCAATCGTTTCATTTATCATTCTTTGTTTTTTCTTCTTTTTCGAAAAAAAACGGTATAGCTTAAGGTAAGCAGAAAAAGTGAGCAAATGCTTATAAAACACGCTTTAGTGTGTGTGTGTGTGTGTATATATATATATATATATATATATATATATATATATATATATATATATATATATATATATATATATATACACTCACACAAAGTTGCAATAAGACAGAAAATAAATAAATATTTATATATTACCTTAAACTATATTTAATTAAGAACATTTTAAGTACTTGCTTAAATTGACACACACATGTGTGTGTGTGTGTGTATATATATATATACATGTATACATATATGCATACATACATACTAGGGTGGCTCTTAAAACAACTTTTTTTTGAAAAAATCTGTTCCCGCCCCCTAAATGTGTTCTATCTAATACAAATTACTTGGTTTACATTTTTTTTGAATATAAAATATCTTAAGGGATCCCCCAAGACCCTTGAATATTTGATGGATCCCTAATAATAAAAAAAAGTTTTTCAAAAATATGTCAATGTGGTACTCAAATGAAGCAAAATTATATAAAAATTTCAAAAAATACATTTCAAAAAATCATAAAGAAATATAAAAAATGCAACTTTTTCGTTTACGGGGAGGGGGTATCACAATTTAAACTAGATCTTTAAACTAAAAATAAAAAATGCGCATTAATATAAATAAAAAATACAAAATGCGCAAGTTTTTTTCCTAATAATATTTTTTTATTTTGTTTTTTATAAAATTATCTAAACTTCGGTTATCCCACTATAAAATTCAAAAAGGATTTTATATATGCAACTGTGAAATATTTTTGACAAAAAAATAAGTATTTAAATCTGGTTGTAAAACAAAAAAAAAAACAGTTCATCTTTAAAATGCTTTAACAAAAATACACTTAATATAATATAATTCAAATAACTTAAAACAAAAACAAAAAATTTATTAATTAAAATAAATTCGAAGAAACTGAAGAAAATAAATTCAATAACCAAAATACCTTGGATAAATAATAACCTTATAAAATTTAGATAAATATAAAGAAACAAATTTTAAAACTTACCATCTTTAACTCATTCAATTCTGGCAACTCAACATCCATTGAGTTGCCATGCTCTATTAATTCTAAGACCTTTGGCTCATTGTAGTTATCTGAGTTCAAAACAAGATGAGCTTCATGTTGAAAATTTTCAATTTGCTGCATAAGTATATCAATTGCTTTTGCTTCTTTAATAATACATGGTAGATTTTTAACTTGAAGAACAAAGTCATTGAGTTCCTCCAAAGTAAGACGTGGTTGAGATGATGACGCAATGCTGCTGGATTTTCTAGAAGATTTTTAAAATTAATAATATTGTCACACTTTATCTTCTTTTATCTTTGAAAAAAAGAAAAATATATAGTTAATAATGAGCTAAAGAAAATTTTGTAAACAACTATAATATGGAAGCTCTACCTTGTTTTGTGTTTTTTAGCAATAAACTGGATAGCCACTTGTGAACACTGATCGGCTTCTACAATAGTCGATTTTAGTTGTTCTAGTAGTTCGCAGTCAGGATAATTGTTTTGTTCAGATTCATTAATTAGCTCTTTGAAAACTGAGACATCTTTTAAAGAAAAAATCGTAAAAAACTTTATAAAACATAAAAAAACTTTTGATCAATTTAGAAATAAATTAAAATTAAACAAACCATATCTATCTTGGGATGAACAGGACAATATTTTTTGCACTTGTTTTTCCCAATTATCAAAAGAATCAGCCCTTTTTTTAACACTACTTAACAATTCTGGTAGTTCATTTAAAGTATATCGATACCTTAAAAAAAAGGACATCAAAGTAAAAACAAAACTGTTTATTTATAAAACAACAGAGCAAAAAAGTATAACAATAAAAGTATAAGTTTTCTTACCGTATAAATTTTCTAATGTTTTGGCAAACACAGATTTCATCTGGATGCTTTAGACAAGATAAGCGTTCTAATACAAAATATAAAAAAATTAGTTTAAACATAATTTTTTTTGATAATAAAAGTATACAACACCAATAATTGAGGTATTCAGCATCAATCAATACACGCAACATTAACAGTTAGTACATGCAACATCAGCAACTGTGTACATTATCAATAAATAGTTTAAACAGCATCAACAATGGTTTTTCCAGGGGAAAAAATATCACCCCCTACATTACATACCAATAGAAAATCAACCTAAAGTAGGAAAACTTACAACAAAACAACCTAAAGTAGGAAAAAAAAAAGGTTAATTCAATAAAATAATAACAAATTTTTGAGAATTTGCATATATTAAAAAACATCTATTAATTGCACACACAAAGCTGTGTGCATTTAATAGATGATACAGTGTCCTTAAAAATGCACTATATCTTTTAATAAAACAATAACAACAAAAATTCAACTGTAGAAATTCACCTAAACTGCAGAAGTGATGAAAACTAACATAATTGAAAAAATTATATACATTTTTAAGTATATTTATTATACATATTATATTAACACTATTTTATAAATAAAAATTAAAAAAAAAAAGAAAAAAAAGCAGGCGCGCCCTCAAACTAACAACATGCCAATAATGGGTTTCTTCAAAACTATGTCTTCTTTCACATATAGTTTTCCTCTTTATAAAATGTTACAAACTAACATTAAATAATAAAATGTGGCAACATGTGACACTGTTAGTTTGTAATGTAAAGATATTTTTAACTTTTCATATCTTCATGATTCAAAATAGTTTATATTTTATTTCAATTAGAATTTTAGCAATTTTATATGGTAGGAAAATAGATAGATTTAAAAATTACATTATCTATTACGGCAAAATATATTTATTCAAAATTAAATCAAGTTGTTTACTTTTTTTTTCTTACAGTTCGCCATAAATTGTTAACATTCTATTAAAAAAAGTTTCATTAAACGGAATAATCTGACAGACACACAGAGAGCTATACCTTGCAGAGACAGATATATTCATTTGACATAGTTAAGGGGTTAAATGGCAAAAATGATAGATGCTATTGATTCTGCTTCTACCAAAATTCAACAATTTCTTAGGGGTGAAACATACTTAGAATATTTTGGTATTTAGTTTCAATTTAACTGTCATTTGAAAAAACAAATTTCAGACTTTAATAAAGGTAATTCAAATGCACAATGCAGACTGGTCTTTGTGCAAAATTACAGTAAATCTACAGTTCAAAGTAAATCTATAATTCAAAGAAATGTTTCCAGATTTTTGTCTCAAAATTTATTTAGTAGGAAGTCAGAGTCTGGACAAAAGCAAAAAACTACAGAAAGAGAAGATTGATTGATTGTGAGGGAAATGAAAAACCCTAGGATATCAGTGAGTCAGATAAAGCAAACCTTGAATACATATGTAACAATACAATTTTTGGAAGAAAATAGGTAAAGAGTTTACTTCAGGGTGTAAACAAAAAAAATATATACATTTATAAGCAAGAAAACTATACTTAATTAATTTCAGATGTTAAAAAATACAACTATAGATAATGAAATCACCTTTGTAATTTACAGGAAGCACACAATAAAGCAATGTCCAGAAGGTCATTAAAAGGCTGGTATGCACAATTAGATAAATTATGCACATTCTGTGGTTGTAAAGGTTACAGAATGGATAGCAGTTGATTCTTAATCAATTGATTAAAGCATTTTGAACAATTGTAATTGAAAAATCAATACTTTAATAAAAAATAATGTTAGGATTTTGATTAAAGGAAGTTAATAAACTAATATTTAATAAATAATAGATAATAAAAAATGAATTAAAAATGGTTTTTAATTTTTAAAATTTTTGTTATCACAAGACAAATTTTCAGTATATGCTGTATATGAATATGTAAACTAAACATATTTAAGAACATTCAAAACATTTATTTCAAGAAAGTTATGTCCCTAGCCCCAAAGCATCTGACTTTAAATGTCACAAAACCAATTTATACCTGGCTTTTGGTGTTCACGAGCACCAAAAACATTGAGAGATTTATGGACTACATTTGAAAATTAATCTGGAAATGAAGGTACAAGAACTATCAACTTTTAATTTTTTATGTAAATTGATGCCTAGAAATTCCAAGCTAAAAAAAAACAAGTTCCAAATTTTGAATCACTTTTTTTTTTGTTATTTTTAATGTAGTCCATAAGCTTTACAATACTTTTAGAGCTGGACATTAAAGACTAAGTAAAACACGCGCAAATATCAATTCGAAGCCAAAATACTTTTTAGGATTTTTTTTCCCAGATTCAAATTAGAACACTATCTTCCTAGATAAATTTATAAATAGAATATATCTAATTTAAAGGCATGAATGTCCATACACATACACACAATGCAACAATATATATGCAATTATATCTAATATGCGGTAGTGGTGTAGCGGTAGAGCGCTCGCTTCATAAACGAGTGGTTCCGAGTTCGATCCCCACCACGTCCCTGGTAGTACCGCGCTCAACTCGTTTCTCCGCGCAGCGGCCTTGTTCGTCAAGGTTCGTGTTTCAGAGTTATAGAGTTGAGAGAGGGTTATAGCCACGAATAAGTAGCCTCCTCGTCTGTAGTGGCCTTCTCGGCCTTGAGGAGGTGAATTAAAATAAAATAAAAATATATATATATATATATGTATATATATATATATATATATATATATATATATATATATATATATATATATATATATATATATATATTCTTTTTAGAAACACTTACTATTATCACAAGAGCACACAACAGCTGAAAAATATAATGTACACTTGCAATAGTCACATTGGCGCTCATCATCAGATATCAGTTCATAAGGACAAAACTCACTATCTTTTATACCCTAAAATAAAAATATTTAAAATTTTAATAAAACCATTTTCAAACTTAAAACAAATATTTATTATTTATCAGAACTATGTGTTTTTAACTTATTTTTATTTTAATTTTTATTTAAAAATAAAGTTTAATAACTATTTATATCTTATTTATATCTTAACTGTAACTATTTATTTGGCTTACATGATATTTTTAAATGTATATTATAGTGTCATGAAAATAAAAAAACAAAAAAACTTTCTTCTTAAAACAAAAACCTCAATACTGAACTCAAAAAATGTTTTGGAAAAAATGACCCTACCCCATTACTATAGGCACAACTAAAAGAAAAACTAGCAAAAATGAACATCAATAAAATAAAATCAACATTTTTTTAAGTTAAAGATAACATTTTTTAAATAGTTTTAAGACAAGTCTAAAACCTAATGGTCTTATCACAGGGCACCAGGAGTATAGCTTCCAACCAGGAAAAACAAGTTTTCTTCCTTATCAATGTTGCTTAACAATGGCCAGAGAAAGCATCAAACCTCTTTGTTCTGAACTAGAACTCTAACCACTGCACCACAGATGCTTGTTATTATTATAACATTATTGGACAGTATAATCAGAAAAAAAAAGAGTCAAAACCAAACTGCCAGCAGTGCTTGTAGCAGATCAAATGGTCAACAATCTATTTAACTTGATCGACATGACAACTCACGTTGACACAATGATTATTTATTAGATATTATTGCATATTATTATATTAACAAAATTTATACTAATGTAAATAATAGAAGATTTTGTATCAAAAGTATAAAAACCTTTTCATGAAGACTTGCTCTCTCAGACAACTCGATGTCAACCAATAATTTCAGGTTCTCATATAATTTTTTTGCAATGTCAAGATCAAGAGCTTCTGGAACAGATGCCATTTTACACACAAGTTCTTCATGAGAAAACACTACTGCTCTTTGCAATTTTCGATAATGCTCAATACAATCAAATCCAATTGACAGCTTTTTTTACAAAAAATTTAAAAAATACTTAAACAAAATAACAAAACAAATAATGTTAAAAAAATTTTAAATATTTTTCAACAAAACTTTTATAACTTCAAGCTTTAATCATTTTTCAATTTAAAACATTAAACATTAAAAAATTTTAAACAATGTAAGAATGTGGTTCACAAAGTAAAGATTTGATACTCCCTAAATTTGTTTCTTCCAGCTAAATTTCAAAAGCTAACATGAAAACATTAACTCCTGTCTATGGTTTGTCCAAAGTATATAAAAAAATGATTACAATGTTTTAAAAACTTGATGATGTTAAATGCACTTAACTAAAGCTATTTAAAAAGTGAAAAACAGTTTTTAAACCTCCTAGATATTAATCCCTTTCTTTAACATTACATATTTATTCTATCTAAATTTTTCTTATGTGTCTAAAACTTTTCTTAGAAAAGTGCTTTTTGAAACAGCATTTCAACTTATTTTTATAAATTTGAATTTAATACCCTGATTCACACTGGATTAAATGTGTTTTATGTTTTTAACGATATTAACTGTATAAAACAACAATAAAACAACATGACGAGGTTGTTTTGTTTTAATTGTATAAAACATCAATAAAACAACATGGTGAGGTTGTTTTATTTTAACTGTATAAAACAGTAATAAAACAACATGGTGAGGTTGTTTTATTTTAACACAAACTTTTTATATTGACAAAACAACCTCGCAGTATTGTTTTATTGTTTTATACTGCTTTTTACAAAGCTAAATAAAAAATAAATAAAAAACATGTTTTATCGTCAGTATGAACAGGGTATAAGATACACAACATTAAAACAAAGGCTTTATTTAATTAAAAAAAAACAGTTGTTTTAATTTGTTTTTTAAATGAACATGTTTTATCTTAATTATTTTATTTAGAATTTAATTCTAAATTAATAATTAAGATAAAAACTATAAAAAACCAATATTGTTATAAAATTATAAACATTTTATTTCAATCCTTAATAAAACAATTTTAAAAACATTTTAAACGTCTAAACAAAAAAATAACGTTTTATTAATTCTAAATAAAATAAAATCAGCCAAAATTAATGTTTAATTTAAATTTTTGAAAAAATCGTAAAATGTTTGTTTTGAAAAAAAAGTCAACTGACATATTTTTTTTTTCCTCTTAAATTTATTTTAAATATTTACAGTTTGCTGAATTGTTGAACTCTGTTTCAAAATGTTGTGACAAACTAAAACCGTATTAGGTCAGCAACTTCTTGCCGACTTAATTTTTCTTAATTCCAAGAGTTGATGTTCAAATAATGCAAGGTCCATAACACAATATTAAAGACATTGAAGCAATTAAATATAAATTAAAACAAAAAGGTTGCTCGGTGGTACGGTGGTTTGAAAATATAAAATCATATCAGTTTATGGAGTAAAATGTAGAGGAAGAGATAGATGAATCGAAAGTGTTTAGCATAAAACAACTTCATAAATATTTGCAAACTCATATAATATGTAATCCTCGATAACATTAAATATGAAGTTATAGAAAACCACCCTATGCATTTGCAGAAAACACATCAGATATAAAAATCAAAGATTTATATATTCTAAATATAGATTAATATATTCACCCAATCTGCTGGACAAAAGTTAACAGCTTCTGCACAATTGTAGCCTTGGTTAAAACCAGCATGATATGCTCTAGGAAAAGTAATAATAAACTCTCCAGCATGTTGATCGGTACGAAATACAGGAACTCCATAATTCATTAGTGTCATTGGTGAACAAGTAGTCACTAAGTGATGAAGTAAATCAGGATTTTTCTCAAATAATTCAGGAGCAATGCTTTTGACACAATTCTCTAGTTTTTCAGCTTCACTAGCAGGAACACCATACCATGTTTTTGGTTCCCCCCTAAAATAACAAATTATTTTTCAGTTATATACAAAAAATAAATTCAAGTTTATACTTTTTACATTAAACATAAAAAATATACTAAAGTTCGGTCTTAATACTGAAACTTTTATAAAGACCATAAAACTAATCATGATTTTGTAAAAACTGCTAACAAGTCATCAGCTGAAAACCAAGTGGCCATATGTCTACAATTTGTGCTCTTTCCATTTATTATTAATAATAATTTGCCAACGAGTGGAGTGGGTCTCAAAAATAATAGAACTTTAGAAAAAACTTAATAATCAGTAATACCTACAAAATTTAAAAATCAGTAATATTTAGTAGTACAGCAAAACAGAAATAGGACTTTCTGGTAGAAAGTCTTTAAATACTAAAATCTAAAACTCAATTTTCTCAGTAACGCAAAGAATGAACATACAGCCTCCTCATTCTCAGCTGACGTATCTCAAAAATAAGATATAACTTATCTTATTTTTGAGATACGTCATCTCGTAATAATAACATTGCACAATATTTTTGAGACATATCTCAAAAATATTGTGCAATGTTATTTTTATTTTGTTATCAATGTTATATTATCTCAAAGATAACATTACCACACTGCTGCCATGGGGATGGAGTACTTAAACAAATTTTGAAAAAAAAATTTATTAATGAGGGAAAAATATTAATATTTAAATTAAACTACTTGTTATTTAATACGCTTAGCAAAAAATATCATTTAATATTTACCAATGACAGTAGTTTATAGAATAACTCCAATGATCTTCTGTATGCCAACAAAAACTTGAAAAGCACATGCCGATGTACAACCAGGGTACCTATATAAAATATTTTGTGTATACATATGTTATGTTTATATTATATAACTAAATACTACTAAGGTATATTAATAATTTTTGTGTATATATTATTGACCAGATATTGTAAATTTGCACTTATAATAAGTATTGTATTTTCATCATAAAATACATTTTTAAATAAAAAAAAACTTAAAAATAAAATAAAATAGATTACCTTCATTCCTGAGATATCCTGAGTGATAAACTTTAATACAGATTTATCATTATTGGCTAAGTTGTTTAGATTCCAAGGAGAATCAATGTAAACCTAAGAAACATAACATAGTATTATTTTTTAAATATTTAAAAAGATTATAAAAAAACAAAAAATAAAAACAAACTTGATCTTCAGGATTATCTGTATTATTAGCCAAAGGGAATCCAGATCCGAGATCTTTTGTATGCAGATCAGCTCCATATTCCACACAAAGATTTTCATCAATGGAGTGCACAAGTCTCCAAAATTCTTTTTCAACAACATGTAATGGAACTTCCTACAAAAAAACCATGCTTTTTACAATTATTTGAAAATTTAAGATCTTTAGTTAACTGAAAAAACAAAAAAAACATTAAAAAAATAATGAAAAAATAAAAAGTTACATGGGGTGGCATTGAGAAATAGTCTTCTTTAAATTTATCAGCCATTTCACCAAAACTCTGCAATGAGTAAACCTTTTTGGCCTGTTCGAAACCAAAGGCTTCTGTAGGTTTACTACACTCCTATGAAAAAAGAAACAATTTTGCTTTCTTGGCTTTTGTATATTTTGATTGGCAAAGTTTGTGCCTTAGAGCTTTAGGATTGAGAGAGTAACAAGTTTGGTAACGATGATTAAAAATTTTTATTCAATATACTTAAATATATTTCTTTTAAAATATACTAAGATATACTTTTTATTAAATATATGTAAATATATTTCTTATTCCATATACTTCAATATTTATACTTAATTTTGTAAATAAATAAAAAAAAAAGTAATGTAAAAAAATGTGTTTTTTTAAATTCTCAATTATTTGAAAATAAGCCTAAAATTCATTGCAATAAAAAGTACAAAACAAAAGAAATTCACATAAAATGTCACTTGGTTTCAAAAAACCACTTTGATCTTGCTGCTCTTGGAAATTAATAATCTGGCTCACCAATTCTTAATGATGTGCCTCTGGATTCATGAATTAGTCCCAGAGCTATACCTTATCTTGCCTTGTCTAATGATACACCATTGCAAACATTATGTTGATGAAGCTAAACTTATTTTAACTATCAAAAAGCTTACCACTAATGATTACAAACTGACATAAACAGAGTACTCAACTAGGCTAGTTGTAATCGCCAACACATGATCTATAAGCCGTAAAAAAAGACAAATGCAAATACATATTTTTTTATACATATCATAGAACCACCAGTGTCAACACCACAACCTATCTTGATAAATTTCAAAAATTTCACGAGACCTCATCAGAAGAATTGCGAAGCAACTTGGAGACCATTTTCAATAGAAAGCTTAAACAAGCACATAATTCCAGACCTTGTCAGTATAAACACAAAAAAAGTAAACAGTGCTAACACCTTCAAAAATAAACTTGAAAAATTCTTTTCTTTAATAGCAAGAAACTCTATTCTATTAAACACATGATTTAATACCATTTCCACTTTTAACATCATTATTAATTTTTCATGATATTAACATTAGCTTGTGATATAGTGGCTTCTAGTGGCTCTAGAAGATTCAAAAAAAGTATATGTACAAAAAAATGATACAGTACAATATTAGAACAGAATAAATTGAATAAATTATCTAGCCTGTAGATTGCAGCATATATTATGCTGACTATTTAGCCTACAACAAAATGCATTTATTCTATTATTTTAGTCAAAAAACTTTTTTTTTATCATTCTCTTAAATATGAACACATATCTCAGAGGTTTGGGTTCCCTTTAATTTTTTTTTTTTTTTTTGTAATTTACCGAAAAAACCCCACCCCACCCCACCCCCAAGGCCAAGAAGGCCACTACAGATGAGGAGGCTATTTGTGGTTAAAACCTTCTCTCAACTCTACAACTCTAAAACATGAACCTTGACAAACAAGACCACTGCACAGAGAAACAAGTTGAGCGCGGTACTACCAGGGACGTGGTGGGAATCAAACTCGGAACCTCTCACATATAAAGCGAGCGCTCTACCACTACACCACTACTGCATAAACTATTTCAAAACTTTTTTTTTAAAAAAAAACCAACAGTATTTGCATCTGGTAGGATTCTGTAGGCTAGCAGTGGCAAAAATTCTTTATAGAGATATCTATTTCATCACATAACAATTTGCCAAAGTTTATTGCAAAAAAAAAAATCAAATCAACAATCATAAAAATCTTCAACATAAAAACATAGTAAAAACCAGTTTTTTTACTATCCTGCACAGCCATCTAAATAAAAAAAATAAAAAAAATGAAAAAAAAAAAAGAAATTGTGAAACTTTCATTTAAGGATTATTGAAAAGATTTTATTTTCAATATTTTTTAAATAGTTTTTACAAACTTTTTAAATAGCATTAGCACAATGGTACACCATTTTTAAGATTTAATAGAATAAATAAGAAATCTGAACAAGCTTACTTTGACAGAGTGCACTAAAAGCTGGTTGAAAACAAATTTTTGCTTGCATTCATAAATTATTAGTTTGAATAAATTTTTTTTTAAATATAAAAACCAAATCATTTAATGAAAAGAATCTAATGGGAAAAAAAGTTTTAAGTTCATCAACCTTTCCAACATGTGTAGACTTTAGATAATGAAAAACAGAAAACTTATTGGTTATTTACCATAAAACAGTAAGTTTTTTTAAAATTATGGCTTTTATGATGTTATTAACATGATTTTTAACAGTATATTTGTATCAGGATTTCTTAGAAAGGCTGATAGCCACTTTCTAAACTCATCTGGATCTTGTTTATCTATTAAAAGAACATTGATTTTTGTTACATAAGTAGTTGAGTTAAACCTCCAGTTTTTCTTCTGGTTAAATAAACTATAACTTTAATAAAAATTATCTTGTTGCTATGGGTTACAGCTTTGTTTGTCAAGGCTCATTTTTTTAAATTAAAGGATTGATAATTTTAACTAATGTTAATAAAAAAAAGTGTAGGTTTCAGGACTGCTGTGGATCTGCAGCCTTGAGACTGAATACTATAATAAAAGAAAAAAAACAATGCATCAAAAATTTTCAAAAAACATCTGGAAATATTTTATGATCATTAAGTTAAGTTCAAACAACTTTTTAGAAATGATTAGAAATTTTGTTCAATCATTCCTAATATAAGTTATAACTATAAAAACAATTCTTTTTAAAAACTTATTTACAAATTGCATTTACAAAATGTTATTGATTGTAAACCTTTCAGATACCTTGGCCACACATTTTGGGCACCTCCAATCACCAGGGGGTACACTTTGAAGAGGAGGGATCAAACAAAATGAGTGATATGAAGAATCACATGAATCACACAAAAGCATACAATGTTCTTCATCTCCAAATTCACATACATTGCATCTGTAGTCTTGAACACCCTGCTGAAATAAAAAAGATGATTCTAAAAGTTATTTTTACTTTAAGTAATTTATACTTATTCAAATTAAACTGCTTTTAAAAGCTATATAAAAATTAAACTGCTTTTAAAAGCTATATAAAAATTAAACTGCTTTTAAAAGCTATATAAAAATTAAACTGCTTTTAAAAGCTATATAAAAAAAGTTTTATAACTTTGCTTAATAAAAGCAATAAGTTTATATAATATAAGTTTACCCATGATGCAACAACACTAAAAATGTTTTTATCATTGCCAAAACTATGATTTTGACCTTGAATTGCAGAGAGTTCACTATCATCAACAAAATGATCTTCATACTTCTTGTTACGACGCTTAGTTCGTCCTAGTGTAATTAGTATTTTACACTTATAATTAAGAAAGTGTATTTTAATGAAAGCAAAATAAATTTATTTTATACTAACCGGCAGGTTTTGTACCAGCAATTTTGGGACCTGGAGCCAAAAATTGTAGTTTTTTTAACTCTGTGTTTGCCTCAAAATTTACCTTTAAAAACAAATTTATTGAATGACTTAAAATATAATTTTATTATACATGGTATAGTATATGTATCTATAAAAAAGTAAATTCAATAAAAAATTTTTACTTTCTTATTCAAAATAAGTGTTTTATTTTTACACAAAGAATTGCTCAATTCATACCGATACACATGGTAGACACAAGACAAAAAATGTGTGTGCTTATTTGTGTTTATCTATATATCTATGAATATATATATATATATATATATATATATATATATATATATATATATATATATATATATATATATATATATATATACACATACATATATATGTATATATATGAAGTTGCTGCTAAACCAACTGAGGTTTTGTGTTCGGGAAGTAATAATTTTCTTTCTTTGTTTTCTGAAAAAACCATTTATACACTTTCGTAGATATAGAATATATATATATATATATATATATATATATATATATATATATATATATATATATATATATATATATATATCATCATCATCATGTTCACCTAACTCAGCAGTATAAGAATATATATATATATAAATATATATATATATATATATATATATATATATATATATATATATATATATATACATATATATATATATATAAATATATATATATAAATATATATAAATATATATATATAAATATATATATATATATATATATATATATATATAT